TAATAAGAGCATTTTTAATTCTTTGCAAAAGGCAAAACCAGGTGCTCTGACAAAGTGCAGAATGATGATGCTTGAATAAAAAGTTAATTCATAGTTTTAATTGCTTAGCCTCTGTGGACTTTGATTCAGTTACTTCTAACAAAAAATATTTTTCATTAATAAGTGAGTCAAGAAATTCCCTACCAGTATTTGAAGTCAGTTCACTGTATTTTCAAGATTTATTTTAATTTATTTTTTAATAGAAACAACTATGATTTGCTATGAATTTCTTCTTTCTAACTTCAGGAAAAAAAATCTTTTTTTTTTTTTAATCCAACAGATGAGAACAAGACATCGAGCTACTTAAGTGAAAATGTTCTGGCTTTCCGTGATCAAAATATTCTCTTGGGTACAACTTACAGGATCCTAGCTGACGCTGTCAGCAGCGAGCCAACCTGCCTTGCTGAAGTCGAGGAAAGCAAGGCTAGAAGAATCTTGGAGCTTTCTGGGTCCAGTTCAGAAAGCACAGAGAAGGTGATGAGCACGGGCAGAATGGATGTGTCATGACTGTGTGCTGTGTGTCTTCAGTGTACAGCCGTCAAGCTGTAGGAGAGGGATGATGCGGGTGTAGCTTTGTGTTTCTAAGATATGTTTGACATTATGCACAGCCAGATTTCTTGTGTGGAAAATTGACATACTCTATGTATTTCCTGTTTATTTGAATGATACAAATTTTTTAGTATTAAAAAAGAAATTTTTGTTGAATTGATGTGGACAGTTCTTCCATGAATTTTGTTAATGAAATTTCACCACCAGTTGCCATTCAGATGTCCCACTAGCTTGTGGGACAGATCAGCCTTTTCTACTTTTCATTTACTGGCTACAGTGCTTAGCTTCTTTCAGATTCTTTAGTGTTTTTGATAGTTATGAGCCCCGTCATCACACCGTGTCCTTCCTCACTTCAGTTGTGTGGACTCTACTTCTCCCCCATGATGTTTTAGCGTCTCTGCGGGCATTGAGCACAAGGAGGCCATGTGCATCTCATCCTTAACACAGAACAGCTGTGTGGCCTGCCGACCTGGCCCAGCTCTATGTGGCTTGTGGACTGTCGGCCCACTCCTGGCTGGATCTTTTGTTTGGCTTGTGGTCGTGTGCTCAGGATCTTACTGGAATTGTTTACTTCTTCACAGCCAGGGCAAACTCTCCTCTTGCCAGTTAACTAGCTCTCAGTGTTATTCTGGAGCTCAGTGTTATTCTTGATCCATTTATGCATCATGAATCACAAGTATTCTCCTTTATCATCACAAGTGGAATGTAGACTTTTTTGGGAAAGCCTCAGTTGCACTCACAGGCTTTCTCAGGTCTTTGTGAATTCCAGGTGATTGCGGGTCTGTACCAGAGAGCGTTCCATCACCTCTCCAGGGCTGCACGTGTGGCTGAGGAGGAGGCCCAGCCTTCTTCCTGGGGCCAGGGGCCTGCAGCCGGGACAGTGGATGCATATATGATGCTGGTGGATTTCTGTGACCAACAGCTCCGCAAGGAGGAAGAGAATGCATCAGGTGACTCGCAAAAGATAAAAACAAGTTAGTGTTACTTTATGTCAGTATAAAGTCTTAAGAATTTTGTAGCTGCTTGTGGTTTCCTATTTGTTTTCAAATGACAAATATTTTGAGAGAAGTCTGTTGTCTCTAAGAGATAATGGCATCTCCAAGCAACACAACCTGGATTTAAATGGAGCCAAACTGTCTTCTATATTTCCATTTGCTTAAATTTTAATTCATGTTTTGCTTGTAGCGTTGGTATTATTGGCTCTTGTGGCCTGCTTCTTGCTCCTGGAATAAATTCAGTCACCAGCAGCTGCCCTGAATGTTCCCAGCCCAGGCTGTGCAAGCTCGGCTATATGCCGAATGGGTACTCTGATGGAAGGGTTCAGCTTGCAGAAGAAAACACAAAAGTGTGTCTGGTGTTTGTCGATTTAAGGGGGTGTTAAAAAGAGAACAATGACATACTGCAAAATACAAGCCCAAAAGAGAAAATGTGATCAGTTGTTAGATCTATAATTTATGTCTAGGTAGATGTATGGACCATCATTTTCTTCTTTGCTGTCCTGGCAGTTACTGATTCTGTAGAACTGCAGACGTATCCAGCACTTGTGGTGGAGAAAATGTTGAAAGCTTTAAAATTAAATTCCAATGAAGCCCGGTTGAAGTTTCCTAGGTTACTTCAGATTATAGAACAGTATCCAGAGGAGACCTTGAGCCTAATGACAAGAGAGGTTGGTATCTTTATTCCAATTTATAGAACTTAAAGGCATACTCTTATTTATATCCAAACATGTTAGTATCTACAATGCACGTATTGTACTTTTTCCCAGAAGCATTGAAATTCTAAAACATAGGTAATTTAAAATGGTACAAAAGAGTGTTCACATTTACCCATTTTCCTCTGTGAGTGTTGATAAGAATGCTATGTCTGAACAAGGACCTAAAGAAATTGAGGAGGGTGTGTTGGGGACAGGGACGAACATTTGCATAGACAGTTTGCTGCCTACACAGCTGAAGCTGTAGTCAGTAAAATCTGTGGTGCCTTATTCTCCATGGGGAGATGAGAAGTTTCAAATTGCGTCCACCTCCTGGTGAGTGCAGTGCCCGCCTGCAGCACCATGTCCAGAGGAGTCTGAGGCCTGCAAGTCGGGGGAAGTCCATGTGGTTGTGGGAGCAGCTGGTGCCCCGCCCTGTGATCTGCTCCTTGGCCTGACCCGGGGCTGCTGGCATACTGCAAAATACAAGCCCAAAAGAGAAAATGTGATCAGTTGTTAGATCTATAATTTATGTCTAGGTAGATGTATGGACCATCATTTTCTTCTTTGCTGTCCTGGCAGTTACTGATTCTGTAGAACTGCAGACGTATCCAGCACTTGTGGTGGAGAAAATGTTGAAAGCTTTAAAATTAAATTCCAATGAAGCCCGGTTGAAGTTTCCTAGGTTACTTCAGATTATAGAACAGTATCCAGAGGAGACCTTGAGCCTAATGACAAGAGAGGTTGGTATCTTTATTCCAATTTATAGAACTTAAAGGCATACTCTTATTTATATCCAAACATGTTCGTATCTACAATGCACGTATTGTACTTTTTCCCAGAAGCATTGAAATTCTAAAAACATAGGTAATTTAAAATGGTACAAAAGAGTGTTCACATTTACCCATTTTCCTCTGTGAGTGTTGATAAGAATGCTATGTCTGAACAAGGACCTAAAGAAATTGAGGAGGGTGTGTTGGAGACAGGGACGAACATTTGTGTAGACAGTTTGCTGCCTACACAGCTGAAGCTGTGGTCAGTAAAATCTGTGGTGCCTTATTCTCCATGGGGAGATGAGTAGTTTCAAATTGCGTCCACCTCCTGGTGAGTGCAGTGCCCGCCTGCAGCACCATGTCCAGAGGAGTCTGAGGCCTGCAAGTAGGGGGAAGTTCATGTGGTTGTGGGAGCAGCTGGTGCCCCGCCCTGTGATCCGCTCCTCGGCCTGAGCCGGGGCTGCCTCACTGGCTGTGGTCCTGTGCTTTGGACTCTGCCTGTGTGCAGGGGAGGCTCCACTGACCCCATCTACAGGAAGTGTGGGGCCACCTGAAAGGCAACTGGAAGACAGGGCAAAGCTTGGAGTTGAAAATGTATTGATTTCTGTTACGTGATCTCCGTTAGCTCTATGTAGTGAGTTTCTAAACAATGCTGATCTCTGTGGGCACCCAGCATGACTGTCAGGCATCCTGCACTCCCGTGTGGATTCTGAGTGGTGGGCTAAATTTCAGTAGGCCTTAAACAAGAGACCAAAATAAATTCAGAGATGCAGCATATATCAGGGGTCTTCCAAAAGTTCATGGAAAGATTCATTTATCTTTTAATTGCCTTTTTCCATGAACTTTTTGAAGTACCCTCTTACGTGTTTTTCTTAGAGATAAGTGAACAAATAGTTAAATAACTTTATTATGACTTTGGTTTTTTGTAAAACAATATTTTTATGTGGTAAAAACTGCATTTTGAATTTGTGAGGAAATAAATGAGTACTCAGTCAGTGTCGTTAACGACACTGAGGAGACACTTGCAATGGCGGGCGACCGCAACCACAGTCACACAGTGAGTCGTGTGGACTGACTTGTCTCCTCACGCATGCTGCCCTTTTCTTGTTTGTAGGTGCAGTTAGAGAGCTTGCCCAAGCTCACTCCTTATGCCACCATTCTAGGAATGTCATATTTTATCCTACAAACACCTTAAAAGCTAGAAGAAAACATGAACATATTTTTAAAATGGTCTTGTAATAAAGAGACAAAAACCAGAAGACATAAAGAAAAATAATTTGATACTTCTATATAGAAAATGAAAATGGTATATACAAAGTGAAAAAAAATACTGGAAGAAAAATATTTGCAACACATATGAGAGACAGCTGACGTTTCCAGTCTACAAAATAAATGGTCACAACAGACGAGTAGAAGATGGTCAAAGGATGTGCCTGCATGAAATGATCAAAGCGTGTAAAGCAGTAAATGTGGAGCGTTCAGCTTCACTAATTGAAAAAAAATCAAAATGTAGATTAGACATTTTTTTACTCCTTAGATTGACAGTGACTTAGAAAGTTTATTGTGTCCAGTGTTAGTAAAGATTTTGGAAAGTAGTCAATCTAATACTTTTAGAAATGAAAATTTGAAAAGTGTCTTTGGAGGGAAATCCAGCAATGTTTATTATAATTGTTAATGTTCATGCTGTAATTTTACTTCTAGGAATTTATCCTACAGGTATATGGCACAGAGACAAAGAGTTACGTGTATAGGGATATTCCTTGTAGCATTATCTGTAATAGCAAAAAATTGGAAACTACACTAAATATTCATTATAGAGTAGTAGTTAAATAAAATGGATTGCTATAAAGCTGTTGAAAGGGATGTGGTAAATCTAAGAAAAACCAGCAACAGTGTGTCTAGTATAATTCTATTCTTGTAAGAAAAGGATATGGGTGCACATGCACAGAAAATGTCTGGGAGGATTCAGTGGTTGCCTTCGTGAAAGAGGGCTGAGGGATGGAAGACTTTTTATTTTATACTTCTGTTTGTTTTTATACTGTCTGTGTTTTAGATATCTTCCATTCCTTGCTGGCAGTTCATTGGCTGGATCAGCCACATGGTGGCCTTACTGGACAAAGAGGAAGCTGTTGCGGTTCAGCACCCTGTGGAAGAGATTGCCAATAACTACCCACAGGCAATTGTCTATCCGTTCATGATAAGCAGCGAAAGCTACTCCTTCAAAGATACTTCTGCTGGTCACAAGAATAAGGAGTTTGTGGCAAGGTGATATTACAGAAAAAATTAGGTTGATCAAATACTAAATGTTGTAAAAAATGTGTATGGTAAAAGCAAACACATGGAAGTTTATGGTTGTCTTCAAATTAATTAGAACTATCATTGAACAATCTTAGACATTTAATTATTGCATGTATCTATTCCAAGTATGTTAATTGTTATAGTATTTATTTCCTTTTTCAAATACATTTCATCTTACAATGTTGTTCACAACACATTCTACCCTTATGCTCATGGTTACTAGACTGCTGGTTGAGACAGACTAAATGAGAAGTTTTCTGAAATCAGTTCCTGAAATTGTTCTTTAGTTTAAAATATACAGGCAGGCCCCTTGTTGATTAGAACTCAGTAGACAGCCTGAGTCATCCTTTCACTTCTCACAAAGCTGATTTGTAAGTGGAAATAGTTGATGTAAGAGCAGTGGTGTTAGTTTCGCAGGAATACTTTGTGAATGTGTGGTCTTTTAGTTGACATTCTTGATCAAGTGCTTTCTTGGTCATGAGCTGATTTGCCTTGTTATTTCAAGTGTTTTGATTTTGAGAAGATGAGCCTTCATTGTGGTTTGTCCTCACGTGCTGTGCACAGGCCACTTGCTGCTGCCAAGGCCCTGCTTGCCACACCATCTCCCTGAATAGAGTCAACTGCAGTGGTGTATTAGGCCATTTCTTTTGCTTATAACAAAATACCTGGAACTGGGAAATTTATAAAGAGAATGAAATTTATTACTTAGGAAGTTCTAAGTCCAGGGAACACATGTGGTGAGGATCTTTGTGGTGGTAGCAGCGACTCAGGGTTTTCAGCATGGCAGAAAATGGTGGAGCAGAGAGAGACTAACCTCTCATGCTCTTCTTTTAAAGCTCTTAGAACCACACCCTGACTCATTATTAATCCATTTACTACATGGTCCTACAATCTAATCACCTCTCTAAGGCCCCACCTTTCAGTTACCATAATAGGATTTCCCACACATTGTCACATTGGACATCAATTTTAGGGGGACACTTATTCCAAGGCAAATGGGATTATTTTCTTAAAAAAGAAAGAAGAGAGAAAGATTTATAGGAAAGTGACCTTTTCTTTCATAATTTAACTTCAGAAACTATATATATCAAATTGTACACATCAGAACGTCAGCATTACTTGCAAGATTTGCTTTTATCTTATCTAGAACTTCACCTCCTGATAGAATAGATAGTTGGTGCTTGATCTAATATTGGAAGGAATCTTCAACTTGCTCCTTCCCTTGGCTTTGTAGTTATTTTTTAAGTGTATGTATACATATAATAAATATAAATTACGTTATATAGTTATATATAATTATGTAAAAAAATATATATTACAATCTATATATTATGTATAGATATAAATTATAGGCCTTGATCTTTGGAAGATGTTTGATTACCTAAACTTGATAAATTTTTTTTATAGGATTAAAAGTAAGTTGGATCAAGGAGGAGTTATTCAAGATTTTATTAATGCCCTGGAACAGCTCTCTAATCCTGAACTGCTCTTTAAGGTAACCCAACACATTGTCACATTGGGCATCAATTTTAGGGGGACACTCATTCCAAGGCAAATGGGATTATTTTCTTAAAAAAGGAAGAAGAGAGCAAGATTTGTAGGAAAGTGACCTTTTCTTTCATAATTTAACTTCAGAAACTATATATATCAAATTGTACACATCAGAACGTCAGCATCACTTGCAAGATTTGCTTTTATCTTATCTAGAACTTCACCTCCTGATAGAATAGATAGTTGGTGCTTGATCTAATATTGGAAGGAATCTTCAACTTGCTCCTTCCCTTGGCTTTGTAGTTATTTTTTAAGTATATGTATAATATAATAAATATAAGTTACGTTATATAGTTATATATAATTATATAAAAATATATATATTACAATCTATATATTATGTATAGATATAAATTATAGGCCTTGATCTTTGGAAGATGTTTGATTACCTAAACTTGATAAATTTTTTTTATAGGATTAAAAGTAAGTTGGATCAAGGAGGAGTTATTCAAGATTTTATTAATGCCCTGGAACAGCTCTCTAATCCTGAACTGCTCTTTAAGGTAACAGAACAGCTTCTGCACATAAAACATAGATCTTGGATAAAACTTACCTGTAATCTAGCTTGATTTTTCTTTTTTTCTGCACAGGACTGGACCAGTGATATAAAAGTCGAACTAGCAAAAACCCCTGTAAATAAAAGAAACGTTGAAAAAATGTATGAAAGAATGTACGCAGTCTTGGGCAACCCAAAGGCTCCAGGCCTGGGGTCCTTTAGAATGAAGTTTATTCAGGTATGGATGGATGCAAGCTGCCTTTATGATAACAGAATCATTGTGAAGATCACTATTTACATTTGATGGTTTGTTAGCAATTCTGGTTTTAAAACACCTGTTGAATGCTTTAGCTCTAATACTTTCTGTGAGCTATAGACAGCTTTTTTGGGGTCAGGTGGTAGCAGGTGAGTCAGTGTAAAGAAACCTCGGGGTTTTATTACATGCTGTTCTTCACGCTCAGATTCTTGGTTCTGAAGGTTACATGTAGTTTTGTATTTTTGGTTCTCAGAATGATTTGCATATTAGATTTTTAAAAATCTGTATTTTATGTAAGTTGATAAATACTTTTAAGCACTTATCTCAGATGAGGGCAGTACTGGGTGCTCAGGAGATACATGTAGAGGACAGAGCCAGTTCCCAAGTTCAGAGGGATTGTATGACAAATGCTGCGAGCTGTGCATAGGACAAGTGTGAGAAATGTGAGATCTGTTTTCAAAGGTGCTCTGGTGTTGGAAGGAGGAGAACACATCTCTGTCTGGAGGGAGTGGAGACTGCAGGAGCCTAGACACAGCTCAATTCACAGTCCCCATGGGCTCCTCCTCCCTCGTTAGCACTGTCCCTGGCCCTTCCCCCACAGCAGTCCCCAAGGACAATCAGGTGCTCCTTCCTCTGTTGCCTAAAATCCTATGTTAAAGTGTATCCCTTCTTCATCACACTGATTTTTTTTTTTTTTTCCTGTTTTGGTCAAACTACCTTCATTCATTAAAACCTCAAGAAGTTTAAGGGCAAAAAGGAGAAGTCTTGGCCCTCCTGTTGCTGGAGTCCTCAAGTTCCATGGTCTACAGTGCAAAGGAGGATCTGTATCCCTTATATACATTTTTTTAATAACTCCTTTATTAAGATTTAATTCACACAGCCCATTATTCATCCATTTAAAGTTTGCAATGAAGAAATTTTTAGTATATACGCAGAGTTGTAAAACCATCACTACACTAATTTTAGAACATTTTCATCACCACAAAAAGAAACCCCATACCTATTAGCAGTCACTCCCCTTCCACCTCCCGCCAGCCCCTGGCAACCACTAAACTACTTTCTGTTTCTAAGGATTTGTTCTTCTGGACACATGATATAAATGGAATCCATGCACTGTGTGACTGGCTTCTTTCACTTAGAATAGTGTTTTCAAAGTTCAGCCACGTTGTTGGGTGTGTCAGAGCATCACTCCTTTCTATTGCTGAGACTACACCACTGCACAGGTGTGCGACAGTTTGCTCACCCTTTTATCAATTGATGGACATGTGGGACATGTCCACTTCTTAGCTCTTACCAATAGTGCTGCTGTGCACATCTGCATACAAATTTTTGTGGGGAGGTATGTGTTCAGTTCTTGTAGGCACACCCTCAGGAGTAGAAAGCCACTTTTGATCTTTAACAGGTCCTTTCCTTTTTGCCTCCTGAATTAGACTTGTGGGCAGGGACTGTGTTTCGTTCCTCCTTGTCTCTCCACTACCTAGCACAATGTCTGGTGTGAAATAGGCATCTTTAATTAGATGAATGAATGGTAAAATTTAGATAAGTGGAGGTTGGTAGGTCATTACTACTTGGTAGTTTTAGTCAAATTGTGTGAATACAGGAACGTACAGTACTATCTGTGGCCTAAGTGTGATCAGTGATGCATCCTAAAAGTGAAGATAGCACCATAAACCTCTGTGCTTTGCTTTACAGCACATTGGGCTCCATGTCATATCATAGCTGCATCCTAAAAGTGAAGATAGCACCATAAACCTCTGTGCTTTGCTTTACAGCACATTGGGCTCCATGTCATATCATAGCTGCATCCTAAAAGTGAAGATAGCACCATAAACCTCTGTGCTTTGCTTTACAGCACATTGGGCTCCATGTCATATCATAGCTGCATCCTAAAAGTGAAGATAGCACCATAAACCTCTGTGCTTTGCTTTACAGCACATTGGGCTCCATGTCATATCATAGCTGCATCCTAAAAGTGAAGATAGCACCATAAACCTCTGTGCTTTGCTTTACAGCACATTGGGCTCCATGTCATATCATAGCTGTACTCCACTCATGGAATATGTAAGGGTTTTAGAATTACTGTAATTAAACCAACTAAATAATTTTATTTAAAACTAATGAGCTAACATCAATAAAATTCATAAAATTATGGAATATTGGATTTGGAAAAGTGTTTCAGTGTTTTTTTCCAAAACCCGTGGTCTGCACACTTTCTCTGTAAAGGCCCAGGTTTTCAGTTTTGCAAGCCATACCAGTCTCTGTCGCCAGAACTCACATCAGCTGTCATTGTGCAGAAGCAGCCCTAGACAGTGCACGAGGGCAGGGTGTGGCTGGCAGCCTCAGAGAGGTGCTGCTGATAAGAACAGGCGGTGGGCTGGACGTGGCCTGCCTGCTGCAGTTTGCCAAATCTTGTTCTCAGCAAAGAAGCTAGAGCTGAAAAACGGGGAGTTGCCCAGTGTTGATGGAGAGAGTGCCAGAGTGGAAGCTCGACTCTGGCTCTCAGCTTAGCAGCACCCTGCCATTTTGGGGGAAGGGGTCACCTCTCCTGCCATTGCTGGGGAAGGGGTCACCTCCACGGCACCTCTGTCCTGCAGCCTGCCCTGCCTGCTTGCCAGCATGCTTGGGCTTCTCACCTGGAAACACTCTGCACAGCCCCAAGTAAAGACTGCACATCGTCCCTTTGAATTCATAGCCACTTCCTTCTGCATGCTGGACACCATAGATTCTGCCCTAAAAATTTGTCCATGTAGCCTGCTGTTTTTCCCAACTGCTGCTGAGCACAGCTGCACCTGGTCTCACTGAGGGGCCATGGCAGAAACACTTCCACTCTACCTACCAGGTGTGTTTTAGTCTGTTTTGTGTTGCTATAACAGAATACCTGAGACTGGGTAATTTATAAAGAAAAGAGGTTTATTTGGCTTGCGATTCTGGGACGGTTGCATCGGGCATGGGCCTCAGGCTGCTTCTACTCATGGCGGAAAGCGGCTATGAGCAGATTACATGGTGAGAGGAAGCAAGAGAGACAGAGAAGAGGTGCCAGGGTCCTATAAACAACAAGCTTTCTCGGGAACTAGTAGAGCGAGAACTCATTCATTACTCCCCCTTCCCCCAGGGAGAGCATTAATTCATTCATAAGGGATCCGCCCCCATGACTCAATCAGTTTCCAACACTGCCTCATTGGGGATCAAATTTCCACTTGAGTTTTGGAGGGGACAACACATCTAAACTCCATCAAGGTGTGAGATTAGTTTGGGGTTTAATTTCTAGAACTATGGGAAATCTATCCAAAACTTTCTACCTCATACCAAATCAACAAATAATTTGCATTAGTTATACTCATGTACCACATAATGACATTTTGGTCAACAGCAGATCACATATATGACAGTGAACCCATAAGATTATAAAGGAGCTTAAAAATTCAAATATGTTAGATAACGTTTAGCTACGCAAATACTTACCATTGTGTTACAGTTGCCTATAATATTCAGTACATTGTCATGCTGTACAGGTTGGTAGCCTAGTAGCCATAGGCTACATACCCCATAGCCGGCCTAGGTGTATAGTAGTGGATTACACGATCTAGGTTTGTGTAAATACACTGTATGATGTTTGTACAATGACTAAATCGCATAAAGACGCATTTCTCAAAACGTATCCTCAACCTTAAGCGATGTGTAACTGTAACTTAAATAATACTCTACCAAAACGAATTGCCTCAAATTTCTTCAGAGGATACTTAAGGGCATTATGCCTTTCAGATTTGATGTTGGTGCTGGTTATGTTGGGAAGTAGCTAATCTTTCCATGTACTCTAAGAATTGCAGATTGTTTCTATACTTTTAATCTATTTATAGATCAAAGAAGAAGAAATCGTTTTATATATGTTAATTTTCCAGTAGTGGATTGTCTTAAAATAGACCACGTATTTTCTTTTCATACCAGATTTATGTTGTGGAATGAGTTCTAAATTTGGTAAAAACATTTTAATTCAAGATGATCAGGTAATCTTGACAACTATTGAGTTACTGTTACAACTTGTGTTATTGAGTTACAACTATTGAGTTACTCTTGAGATTTGTTTATTTTTATTTGATATAAAATATCAAGTAAAAAATAAATTGATAGAGACATACAAAAAAAGAATCGATATATCTCAAGGTAGAGTACTTCTAATAATAATTGCTTTTAGAAATATAGACTGTTTAATGTTTTTATTAGTTTATGATCCAAAATAATGGCTTGAAAGACTCTTACTAAGGAAGGTAGCATTCTTATATTTTTCTCATCAACTTGTATGAAGAATTATGGGCTATTTATTTTTATTGATCTACTCCCTCTATTTTATTGTTTTTAACTTTACTCTAATTACTTATGTCATCATAATGACATAGACCAGTAACTAGACGATGAGCACAAAGAGGTTAAATGACTTTGCCAAGTTTTTAAAAGCCTTTATTAGACTCTATAACTAGGAGTCACTAATAACCATGTCCTTTCTCAGGAAACGTAAGAAACAAACAGAAGGTAGGCTCCAGAAGTTGTAAAGTATTGAAATAGTCAAGGAGAGTAGAACTTTAAATCTTAAACTATATTATTTAAACTATAAATCTTAAAAACACAGAAGAAACATATAAAATTGGGTACTTGTTTATTATAAACATTCATAAGCATGGAGCCTCTTTCAAAGTTCAAACTAAACATTAATCTTTATGGTAAATTATTCCATAATAATTTCAGGCCTTTGGAAAAGAATTTGA